TTTGGAGCAGGCTAACGACCTTCTCGCCTTCTTTCTCTCAACCCTTCCTCTCTGATCCCTTCCCCGTCGTCCTATACACAAGGATGAGCGCGATACGCGGCGGTAGCGTGTACGGGGGTAAGCGCCGTCGGGTGACCCACCGACTCACTTTCATCGGTCCGGCCCGCATGCGCACGCGTCGCTATGACTAGAAGCTCAGCGGGCTGGCCCCGTACATGTGGGAATCTCGGACACGGGCCGACGAGACAGGAGAAAGCGAGAGACGGAAGGGACCAGTCCACTGGCGTCGAGCGCTTGCCCGCCCTCCTCTCAGACACCCTCGATTCCCGCATCGTCCTGGACGGGACCGGCCGCCGAGTGCAGACAGAAGGAGGAGGTAGGCCCCGGGGACCTAGACGACGACCGCGGCACTCGCCTTCCACGTCCCGTGCGCCCTCTGCCTGACCCGACGTCTTCCGCAGCCAGGCTCTCGAAGCAAAGTGGGCCCTCCCAGGACCGCGAGGCTCTGTGCCTGGGGCTGGTCCGCCCGACGGACGCGTCTACGAGGCATTACAGAGGGTGCGCCGACCCCCTGCTGGAGCTGCACGCGGCGCGAGACGCGCGTCGGATGCGTTAGTCGGAGGAATAGGTAGGTGGGGGTCCTCGTAGCGTGCCAAGGGCACAGGAAGGAGTCTTAGAGGGATCATGATTGTTCTCCCGGGGCTACGCAGCCGCCCCCGTGGAATACTCCTCCCTCGTGCAAGGCCCTCCGCCCCTCCTCCTTGCGGACAAACAGCTGCGGACGGACGCGCTGGCTCTGGGAGACTCGCGGGCCCTGGAGGGCGTGGACCTGGAGGGAAAGGCCGGGTGGGACAAGCACGTCGCGGGCCGCTTTGAAAGGCCGCCTCTGCGCGACTTGATGGTGAGAGGGAGGAACAAGGTGGCGGGAGCCAGACTAGCGCCAAACCTGTGCAGGCGTGCAAAGGTTGGGGTCGGCCTCGCCGGGCAGGCAGCCGGCGGGCTCGTCGACGAGGGTAGCCTCGGCTCCGTCTCCCACGCTCCTCAGCTAGTACGAGGCCTCCTCTACCCTGCACGTCACCCTCCTCTTCCATACCTCCCTCCCCGCTCACATTCTCTTACCCACAGACTGCCCTGCGAGGGCGGAATATCGCATTCGTTCTCGGTGACTGCGTCCGCTTCCCCCCCCAGTAGCTGAGGAAAGCCTACCGAGCTGTGGTCCTCGACCTCTTAGTCGCCGTGCAAGCCTCAGGGCTGCTCGCCCCACGCTGTCACGTCTTTTTGTCCTACCTCAAGCCAGTGGACGGGGTCGACAACGTGTACGAGGCCCTTCCGGCGGATGCCAGCGTCGCCCCCACCCTGGTGACAGCGCGATTGTCACCCCATCTACCTGCATGCTGTTTGGTGAGGAGCACTTGCAGCAGACGGAAGGACTGATGCCCAAAACACCCTTTCTGCGCTTGACCCTCATGATGTAAAAACTGGAATGTATTGAAAGAGTCGCTTGGTGCAAGTGGGAAAAACAAGAATAGCGTGACCAGTTTGACTCATGCTGCATGACGTCCGCGTCATCTTACTTTGACCTGCTCTACGCTTGTCATGAGAATTGTCTGAAAGCCACGCGGATTACAGACTGTCTGGCCTCCATCATATTTCATAGCAGTCGTGCTGGGTCGTCGCGAGCTTGACGTAGCAAGTGCCTCGTGTCACCCTGTGAAGCATCGCAATCCAGCCTACGTACCACTCCCCTCCTTCACAGCTAGAGCTGCCCGTGACATTAAACAAATCGTTGCAGCCCGCGACTTTCTATAAAACTGAGAGTAAATACACGTGTACGCTCACTCTCTGCTATCCTCAGTCTCAGGTGCCATCAGGCGCGGGTTCCTTTCCCCTTGACCGCCCCTCGTGACTCCTACTATATTGAGACGGTCCAAACCCCTCCTTGTCAGCCGGCATGGCCCTTTGCGCCTGCCTCCCCGCTTCACGCCCCCCTGCTTTTTTGGGTTCGCGTACCACTGCCGCGGGCTTCATCATACCTCCTTTCTCCTTGGACCCCCCAACTTTGCAATCTTTACGCCGACACGAAAGCAGAAGCCTGCGCACATTGCGATGGGTTGAGTCCCCTCGACCTCCCCCCCGCAGCGGCGGCGTCAGCGCCGATGGCAAAGCCCAGAAATCAAGCTTTTACAAGCGTCCTTCGAAAGCGATTGAAATGGGTGGAGGATTCTTCATTCCGGGCTTGGAGGGCTACAAGTTGCGCCTGGCCACCGCGCTACTGGTCCTACTCCTTCTCGCCCTGAACCGCTACCCGGGGTACACCCCTGCGGCCTCCCAGTTGACGAGCGAGGCGATCGGTGCCGGCGCGGCAGTTATACTCCTGGCACAGGCTCTTATAGAAAAACTGATAACAGAAGCCGGCGTTGCCCAGCAGGAGGAAGAGGACAATGGCGGGCTTAAACCCAAAATTGGCGGCAGAAGCGGTCGGACCGGGGGGATGGAGGAAGAATACTTGGGGCCGGGGCCGGGCTCGGCGATGGAAGACGACGTAAGATGGGTGGGATACGCGCTAGACGAGAATTTGAACTGCCCAGCTGTGGCTTTGCTGGATAGCGAGAGAGGGCTCCTGTACTATCGGCGGCGACGCCGCATCTCCAGCCCTTTCCCCCCCTCTTCCTCTCCCCTGAAAGAGCTCGCTCTGGCACTGGCGCAGGCCTTGCCCGCACAATCTCGACGCGCCGTGGGCATGAGCGACGCACTGGCCTCGCTAGGGGGGGCGGGCGGCACCACTGGGATGGGGCTGGCGCAAGTCCTGGGTGTGAGCAAAGTCGAGGGGGCGGTGGTGGTGAGGGTAGGACCGCGGGCGGTGCTGGCTGTGGCACCGCCAGCGGGAGGGATCATGCGGGACCAAGCCGTGTGGGCGGAAAGAGCAGCAGCGTTGCTGGAGGCGTCGGGGCTGGGGGAAGGATAGCGAGGCGTTGAAGAAATGGGTAGCGGGCTGCAGTCCTTGGCTCCGCTCCAGACTTATTTACTTTATGGCGTCCTTTGTTTTCGATTGTTCAAAATCCATTCGAACATATCTACTCAAAATACTAATTGCGTGCGCATTGGAAGAGACACATAAACAATCCGACACGCTCTGCACGAAATCAGTCCAAGTCACCCCCGCGCCTGTCCCTCTCCTCTATTTGCCCCTCCCTACGCTTACTCCCCCCGTGTATCCCAGTCCAGCGGCAAGTCCATGACCTTCCGCACTTTGATTTCCAGCTTATGCAGCTTCTTACCCACGCGCTTCGCGAAGTCTCTCTGCAATTCCAGGTGCTCCTCCTTTTCCCGCACGCTCTCCGTGAGCTCCTGAACCAGGCGATATAGCTCCCAGGGGGCCATCTCCGGGTACTCGGGGGGAGGGCCGCTCCCGTCCTTTTGCCTGCCACTGCTCCCACTTCTCCTCAGCCCAAAGCGAAGCTCCCCCCCCTCTCGCCCTTGTCGCTCGCTCTGGGGCCGCGGGAGGGGGAATAGATCGGGGCGTCCTGCTCCGCTCGCGCCGCCTGCTGGTCCCTCTTTCTTCCCCGCCTCACCTCCAGGCCCCTTCTCGCAACCCAACCTCGCGCCTTGGCCCTCAATCCCTCCTACTCCTGGATCGAGCGGCGGGAAGGACGCATTCGTGGCGCTGCAGGGCGGGTGGAAAGAGGGTGGAGCAGCTTGTCTGGCCAAGGGAGGGTCTGAATTGGCACTCCCGCGTGGGAGCAACCTGGTCATGGAAGACCAGGCTAGGCCGGCCCCTCTTCTTCCCGAGCCCACCTCCCCCTTCCCCATACCATCCGCCTGGCGCCTGCTGTCCTCAACCGAAGCGGCCGTGCTCCCCTTCCCCGTCTTCGTCTCCTTGGGCATCTCCACCGCTTGACCTTGCGAGACCCGTCTCGCCACCCCTCGCCCCTGGGGGCCTTCCCCCCGAGTCTGAGCCTGTGCCTCAGCCGACAGGGCGCGGGTAAGGGCAGTTGTCTTGCTCCGGTGCTCGGGTTTGGCCGGCGCTCGAGACGCAGTTGCTGTGCTAGCGGGCCTTGCAGGGACGTGGTCTGATGCTGCGTCGACCAGGGTCCCCCTAGGCCCCACACAGGCTGCCTGACGTGGGTGGGAACGCCCGAACGAGTCCGCCAGAACACTAGATTGGAAGGATAATTGCAATTTTTCGATCTTCGATTGCAGCGACTGCTTCTCTTTTTCCACAGCTTCCAGCTTGGACTCAAGCATGGTCTGTTTCGCCTCAAGCTCCGCGGTGTGCTTTTGCGCCTCAGCCAGCTTTCGCTGTGATGACCCTGTCTT